TGTTTTCAACCCTAAAAATATTTTATTTTCGATTATAAAATTATAACTAAAGATTGCTATAAAAAAAATTTATCATCTAAAAAAAAGAATTATGAATTTCTTAGAACAAAGTTTAGTTAAATATAAAATAAAATAAATAATATTAAGTCCCCCCTTTTTTTTTTCAATAGTGCAGTTATTCAAAATCTAGTTTTGAGAATTTGAAATATACTTTAAAACTATATTTTTGAGTTCTTAATACTTTGACCACTTAAGGAGTGTCCTGTGGTAAAACAAACTTCAGTTTTTCAAATTAGATTACTTTTTTATTTTTAATTATTTAGAGGATAATTTTACGAAAGTAATGATAAATTTAATATGAAACTTGAACTAGAAGTTTTAATTTGATGCTTTGAACATTTTGTTAATGTTCATGAATCTATCAATATTTTATAATTTATTAAAATATTTTTATAGTTCATATGCATTTTAATACCTTAATAATTTTTAAGTTAAATCTGTAATACTATTAAGTTCTTACCAAGTCCAATAAATTCTATTTTAACTATTAAGTTTAGTTAGTTTATTATTCCATTATGAAAATAGTTTATATGATGGCATAATTTGTTATAAAAAAATTATAATGAACTAAGGTTCTTTTCCAATCTTCTATTGAAATTTATCTATTGGTTTTTTTTTCTTTTATAAAAGTTCATCGAGAAATTTTGTTGTATTTTCAGAAAAAAAAATGTAGAAACTTGTGCTTAAATAAAAAAAGAAATTCTAAAATATTAAATAATTATGAAACATTTGATAAAATTTAAGTAAATAATGAAGTTAAAATTAGCTTTTTATTGTCAATTATTACACAAAAATTAAATTACAATATAGACAAAATAAATATTGCATTAATTTTTAATTACTATACCAAATTAATTTGCCAATATGTGAAAGATAACTTAAAATGGCTTACACTATAATTGTTTAGTTTGAAGTTTGAATTAATCAATATGTAAATATTTATATAATTGGAAACTGTTTTTATTTAATTTAATTAATATTTATGCTTACATAAGTTGTATTATACATTTATTATAAGTATTTATCTTATTCTTAAGTTTTTTATCAATGAAGTATAATTTTCCACTAAAAAACATTGAATTTAGATATTTGCATTATCTCTTCCTAAATATTTAAACATACAACTAACGTTTAATAAAAAAAAAATTTAAGACTATAGCAATCGTACTTTGATTTTATTGAATCAGCGTTGATGACGAGTTGAAGTAGGGAACCTGTACATTGCCCGGTGATTTGGGCGGCTCAAATAAAGATTGACCCGTCATTTGTTAACATTTGTCAATTTAATTTTCATAGTTATAAATTAAATGTTGGTTCAGTGATTCTATGAAACTACAAATAACTCAATATAATGTATTTGATTAAAAGGTATATATTATTATGGCGAATATTAGGTGTGATTATTTAATGAACAAATTCAAGTTTTGATTAGTGTATTAAAAACTGTCTAATCAATTAGTGTATTTAACTAATAGAATATGATTAGTGTTAACTCAAAAATAAAAATAATTGAATTCAGTTAATAGTTAATGCATAATATACCATAGTCATAATTTTTATGTTAATTAATTCTGTATTAAAAATTGTGTTCTGATATAAATCTACATATTTTTAAGTCTTGTTACTAAAACATTTAAATTTATAACTTACCTGTATATTTTATAAAAAAGTAGTTTTAATAAAATTAAAATAAACATGAACGATATAATAATTTAATAATAAATGGCCAAACTGAGTAAAGAAAAGTAAAAAAATTAAAATTAGCAAGTAAGTAAGTTTATTAAAATAATTAAATTTTTAAAGATATTGTTTTTATAGTTTAAATTTCAATTATTTTTATTTGATATTTGAATTGTAGAGATGCTATTCATTATCACTTTGGGGGCCTTGTAAGAAAAAACAAGAACGGATGTTAAAATATCTTAAGGTCTAACTATGATTTTATTATTTTGTTTACTATTACTAATTAGAGCGTACATTGTAATATTTTAAATTGGTTTCAAAAAATAATAAGTATATCAAATCAATAATTGTTAATCATGATAGAACTATGAAAATTAATTGTGGTTGTTGTCTGTAAATTTAAGTATTTACATTTTTGTTTCTAATAATTTTATACAAAGTTCAATTTTATAAAAATTTAATTTATATCTATCAAAATTTTATTACCCAAATTTTTAATTTCAATTTTTTTCGTTTTAAGTAAAGTAAAAGAGTCATTTATATCAATTTTAACGCTTAAATAAAATAAAGCCTTTCAAGTTTTAACATTATTTAATGAATATGATTAACGTTAAATCAATTTAATTATTAGGAGGCAACACACTTTTTTACTCGGGAGCATAGATTGAGAATTAGTAAAATTATTTAAGTAAGTACTAATACACTATAATCTTATTCAATTCATTCATCTACATGACTAGTTTTTGCATTGTATATTGTGTTTTAATCAATGACAGTGAAAAAGTATGTAATAAATAATAAACTTCACACACATTTTTAGTTTTTAAAATCAATAAGAAATTATTTGTCGAAATTGAATTCTACAAACATAAAGATTTCTAGTAATTATTTGTGGAAAAATTAGTAGGTACTTAAAATTGGAATCTTATCAAGTTATAGAAAATCAAATGATAAAGTACTAATGTTTTACACATAACAATGTAATAATAAATTTAGAAGGTAATACCTACAATAAATTATGTGAATAGTTGAAAATCAATAATATTAAAATATTTGTATTTAATAAGCAAATTTATAAAAACCATAATCAATTTATTTTAGTAATATGTTTTAATGCTTTATTATAAAAACTTAAAAGGTAATTAATAAACGGTAATATGAATTTGTAATAGGTAGGTATTTAATATTTATATAATACATTGGTTCCACTATGATAAAATACTTATTTACTTACCTACTTAGTTCACAGTATAGAATATTCAATGTATTCTAGAATATTATTCCTATTATAATATTATTACTACTAGATAATAATTATTAGGTACATGTATAAGGTCAAGTTTATTGCGTAATTTATAGATACCTACCTGTTTTACATAGAAGTTATTACTGTTAAAAAAAAAAAAAAAACGAGTTTTTAATTTGGTTACAATATTGTAAAGTTCCTATGTGATCGATAATATTAACTAATATTTGTTGTGATGACATAATGATTATATTTCAATATAAATTGTTTTTCAAAATATCGTTAACGGAAATAATTTATAACTAGGGAGATATGGAGTAGTCTCTAATTTTGATTATTGTATAGACTAAGATAGAATTAAGTAATAAGTATTAGTAACTATAGTAAGTAGTAGTAATTTATAACGATTTATACTTTTTATAAGATTTCTGTTTAATATATATTTTAATTAATTGTTTTAACAAACATAACAATTAAAGATAGATAACTCAATAAATCAAAAAATAAAGTTATATGTATGCTTTTTGATTTATTTGAAAATTATTGTAATTAATATTAATTATATTTATTAGCATTAAGAATTTTATATAAATTATATCAATAACAATAGTACTTGACTAAATACATATTACATAATAATGTATTATAATGTTAAGTGCTTAAGAAAACCTTACTATGGGATATTATCTTTATGTTTAATAACTCAGAAACTATTATTTTGAGAATTATTTTGTTTTGGATTTTTAATAAAATTTTTCAATTAATGATTTACAGTAAAAAGTGGAAAAGTTCTTATTTGAAAAACAAAAGTTTGTATTGCCATAGGGGATTCTTTAAGAAACTTGAAAAAAAATCTTAAGAATTTACTAATATGATCTTTAAGTTTAATTAAAAATTCCAGAAATTAGACTTCGATAATTACATAGTTAAAGAAAAAAGGAAGTAAATACGCTTGGTGAATCCTTCTGTATATAAGATAAATAATAAAAATATAAAAATGCATAAAGAAAATATTAAACTTCATTAAAAATATAATTTTAGTATAACTTAACGTAATTTATACATTATAATTAAAAGTATTAAGCAATACACCTGATATAACAAGGAATAATATATTAGTATAAGCATTAATTATTTATTTAACGGTGATATTTATTATATATAAATTTATTAAAAATTTAAAAAGGTTATTTTGGTAATATTATTGATTATTCTTAAGTTAAAGTGAATATGTTTTTTTTTTATTTAATAAAATCATTGAAATACCTAAAGGTAACTAGAAACCATGAGGTTATATTTGGTCAAAGTATTAACATTACGTGACCAAACAATCAATCAAGATCCATTAGCTTAGTTTTTAGTAATGTATTCTACCCTTGAGAAAAAAAAAATACAATGCTTTTAATTTAGCATTATAGTGAAAAAAGGAAACTGAAGTTATTAGTCACGTACTCACGTATATTTCAAAGGGTAACTTAATTGAATAATCAATTTCATTATTAAAACACTTTGGCTGCAACCAGTGCAACCATATATAGTATTTTTTTTTAGGCCATTTAAAGGTTTTTAAAATTCTTACATTTCTTATATGTTAAAGAATGATATAAATTGCATATAAAAAGCTAAAAGTTAAATATTATTTTTAAATTATTTAGGTTAGAAGCATTATTACATTATATTATGTTTTTGCTTATAGTATTTTTTTAAAATTAATGTTGTATTTTATTTTGTTCTTATTTAATGAAATATTTATTTAAAACACGTTTTTCCTACTCACTAATGTTTATTAAGTATATACATGTATACAGTTATCCAGAGTTTTCTATTGAATGCGTATTTCATAATTTTTCCTCACATATTATATTATTCATAACTTAATATCCCCTGATAGAATACCTGTTAAATGTTAAGTTATAAATGTTTTCAATTTTGTTATATTTAAACAAGTTTCATAACATATATTTTATATACGTAGGTACATTTTTTTAACGTGATATTTTTCTTTTTATAGATGAGTGTGCTTGTGCCGATTGAAAGGGGCGATCCAGTTGGATCACAGGGTGGGTCGCCACCGTGCACGGCCAGGCACAGGTTCACTCCTCCTGGAAATCCCAGTACACCGACAGATCCACTGCCTGTGCCTCCAGACGTAGCCGAACCAAACACGGCCATTGAGACGCAAGTGACGGCCACTCATAAGCATCCATGCATATCTTGTTGGTGTTGTTGTTGCGGATGCTCTTGGTAAGAATATATATATTTTTATTTTATTTTTAAACTAGAAGTTCATATTATCGACTATTGAAATTACTGTTAATTTATTATTTCCATTTTTAAAAAAATCTCACGTAAAACTTCTATTGGTTTTTATTATATTTTATAATATAAATAATATTCTTAAAGATATTCTTTAAATGTCAGTTATTTAAAAATAATCATTAAAACTATAAATGATTTATTACATTTAAAAATTAATTATTGTCATGCTTTATTTAAATAATTATAAAAATTGTTAAATAATAAAAACAATAATTATATTAATATAATTAAAAAATCATTCTTGTGTTTATTGTTCGCATAATCCATTATTTTATATTTCCCCTAAAATGTACATTAGGTACCTATATCATTATCATTTAATAGTTCAATTAAAGCGATATTTGAAATATCAACAAATTAATTTAAATTTTAATAAGTAATAATACAATTTAGTTAGTTGTAAATACATTTTTATATATATAATTATTATTATATAATATACTATTTACCAAATGGCAATGTGATTAAGTTAACATTTATTATCCACGATTATTAACTATGGTAGCTGTTCTATGGATAAATAACCCAAAGATTAAAATGCATTGTTATGTTTAATATTTTTAGTGGCAAAAATAAGGTAAATATATAAGAAATACTAATGTTCATTGATACATTTTTTATGTATATACTGACATGTTGACATTTAGGAAATGGTGACAATTCCTAATAAGGGTAAAGGAAATAATAATAAAAAAATTAATTAAACACATAATTAATGAGATAAATATTTGCGATAGCTATGCGGAAATTTGTACTGTAGTTAAATATAGGCATATAATCGATACTTGGATTATTTTATATTTCAAATATAAAATTTTTAATTGATAGTAAGATGAAAATAAGTGATAACCTTATATAATAAACTATGGAAATGATGATAAATCTTAGGTAATGATATCATTACTTTACTTATCAGGAATTTTTATAGTAAATATATTCAGAACAGGATTCAAATTTTTCATGAGAAAGTTTTTGCTTTATTTTATGTTAAAAGATTTTAGTTATGACATTATATTATGTATCAATAATTATTTAAATGGCAAGAATAAATAGTAGAGGGTATAATAGTGTGTCATTTCTGCTTGAATTCCCAAGCGATCAATCATCTGGGAAAAATCAATTGAGGGCACATATTGCTTGACACTATTAGAACACTGTTGTGTTTACTCCTCCGTACCAAGCCAATACAGAGTTTAATATATTTTTTGTACACAAAAATAAAAATTATGATACCTATATTGAATTAATATTTAATGTACAAACATGATATTTGTATATGTGGTATCGGGACACTTTCTTGTCAGCCGTTTCTCCATAAGACATTTTTTAACATTTCTATATTATATAATATAATGTACGAATATAATAAAATTAAATTTTTTTAGTATTTGGTATTCGATGTACGACTATAATCGTCTTCATAAAAATAAATCTCATTATGTTATAATATTGTATAGTGTCTACTAAGAAATTTGTCAGTAACTATTGAATCTGATATAAATTTCCTTCTAATACATTTTTTTTTCTGTTAAATTTTTCAAAAATATTACCCATGTCTTTTTTTTGAAACTTTTTACATAATTTATAGATATAATATTATTTAAAATTTTCGTATTTGAAATAAAATAACGTATAATTACAATACATAAAACCACGCAAGTACAAAAATAAACGTAATATGTAAACGAAAACAAAATTCAGATAGTATAAAATAAAATAACTTGAACATAAAAAGTTGACTGACACTGACATACCAGTCGCGTGGCCATTAGATTATTCAATTATTTAAAAAATGTTGTTATCATTTTTAAGTCACTAGCTATGTGTAAAGAGAGCTGCACAAAATTTGCATATCTTCAATCTTATTTTTTTATAACAAATTTGAAAATATTTTGCAAAATATGTATATAAATTTCAAATAAATTGGTTATGCTTGGAGGGAAGGAGCAACTTTGTGCACGTGCCTTTTAGTATTAATAACAAAAATATATTACAAATGTATTGTCATACAAACATTGAAACTGATTCAATAAAATGGATGGACGCTTATAGGTAAACTTTTGAAGGAGGGGAGGGCAGGCAAAAAAAATCTCAAACTTAAGTAAAAATAGAATGATAATGTTATTTGAACATCTAAACATGCTATAATTATATGTTATTATTTATTTAATTAATATTTTTATTGGTATTCAATAGTTTGTTAAAATAAATTATCTAATAAGTACACGAAAAAAATAAAAATAAACATTAAATGTTTTATTTGGTATCAGTAAATAATTATCTCATATTTCTTTTGTTTATTTCAAAAATATAAATAGAATTTTTGATGAAACTATTATTATTTAAGTTCACTCTTTCATGATGAACTCTCATCAAATACAACCATTAAATAATCTTCACCTTTAGTCGAACGAAGCCAGTTTTTACTTTTTTCAGTGTACTAATTGATCTTTTTATTGTGCACATTGTTAGAGGCAGTGATATATACATAAAATATTTAAAAATACATAGGATAATATTCACAATGAGCTCACTCAAAAATTTTGTCACTCTGAAATTCAACCTAATTTTTATTAATCCAATACTAATACCAAATATTAAACTCCTCTGAAATTCTTTTAATTCGATAGTTTTTACTAATAAGCTTAATTTTTCTTTGAAATCATTCATAGTGTATTTTTTAATAACTGTAGAATAAACGTAAACTTATTGAAAATTCTGTTTTTTTTTTTTTTTTACCACGATGAAATAGATGATATTGGTGAATTTTATAATAACATTTCACAAAATTTATTTCTAATTTTTTTTTTTTTTTTTGGACTTAATGCATTGAATTTTAATTTTTACAATTTTATTCTGTTACAGTTGGGGAGTTATTATAAATACTATTTAAAATTATATTTCATCGCTCTTTATCATAATTAAATATAGTCATTAAATCTTGAATATGGTTTTAAACTAAGTATAAATTGATAGACTGCTTATATTATACTTATTTCATATCCTAATGTAGTCAAGAAATTAATTTTATGATGTTTTTTTGTATATAATATTAGGTAATAATATCATGGAAATATTTATCAAGTTACCTATTAGTTAATATTTATATTTTTCCACATTGAGCACTTATTACCTTCAAGTGTATTAAACTGGTAAATTTATCGAATATGGAAATTGCAGATGGGAAAGTGTCCATGAATTTTAGTTTTGTATCAGTACATATATTTTTAGTTGAAAATTTAAATATGTGTAAACATATATTTAATAATTTATACAGTTATATAATATTAAAAAATAAAATTCTATATGCTATTTGTATTGAGTCTTAAGACATTTTTTTATGTATATTTTTAATTTAATATTTTATTTTAATTGACTTATTTGTGTACAATCAGTGTTTATTTGCATGCGTACAGGAGTAGGATATGCAAGCTATGGTAAGTAAAAACTAATTTATAGATTAACTGTACTTAGAAGTGTTAATTTTAAAATTAAATATAAAATAACTATTAAGTAAAAATATAAACAATACATTTTTTTAATTATTATTATTTGTGATAATTCTTTTATTCAGTATACATACTATATACTGTATAAATAATCATCCTTAAAAAGTTAAGCTAGCTGTAAAAATACATTATAAAACTGTAAATTGTTTTGTATGATAAATTATTTAAATACTAGATTTTAAATTAACAGAAAAACGACAAATCATTACTTTATCATCGATAAAAAACAAATATTTTTGAGGTTTTAAAATATGAGTATACTAAGTAAATAATTGAAAATTAAAAAATTTAAGAACACTAAAAAAGTAATAAATTCTATTAATTTTTCCATGCAAGTTCTGTTGTGTTATATTTATAATTTAATAGTATACTAATGAAACTTATCAATAATATAATGTTTGATTTTTATAACAATATTACATATATTTGATTAGGAATTAATATTTATGTTTACGACTATTAAAATTATTATGGGATTTTCTGAAAAGATGCAAAATTATGTTTACATTTATTATTTATTTCATATATCATTAGTCTAATGAATTATTATTGACATATATCCGTAATTATATTGTGTATACAATTTGACACATCTATTAATAGTTTTATGTGATTTTGAAAAATCCAAAATTTTACAAAATACATTAAGAATATGTTATTTAACATTTTTTTATCTTAAAAAAATTAATTATTCTTTCCAGTTTTGTATAATAACAAAATTTTAGGGTAATAATAATAAAATTATTCTTAAACTTATCTTTAATAACATACGGTTTGTTGCTTTTTATTCTGAACTTTCACGCATACAGGGATCGTTTTTGGTAAGTATTATGTATTGATAAAAAAAATATGGTCTACTAAGATGAATAAAATTTAATATTAAAACACCGAAATCATGATTGTAGATACATTCGTGATTATGTGCTGTATTAATATATAATATTTAATAAGATTTTTACTACTTCCTAATCTATCACAATCTTTCTACTTAACTGTTTTCTACGATATGTTTGATACATATAAGTTCAAGTATACCATGTTTATATAATAGGTATATAACTTAAAATAATAGTTAAAATCAAACATTGTAAACCAATTTGCCAATTATATAATTTTTGTGCAAAATATGATTACACAGATATTATTATGTATTAATACATCACTATATTTTTTTAGAACTAAAATAATATTCATAATATAACTATGGTTAATAGTAAAATATTAGATTTAAAAATGGAAAAATATGTTTAATTAACAATACTGATGTATTCTTTCAGTTTCCCATTAAAAGGTCATCCCCCCAAAACAAACGGAAATGGGTCTAGCGGCGGCATAATCGAAAATCCCGTTGAGCTAAGGTAAATGTATATAAATGGATGCACTTATATAGTTATACAAAATAATATTTAATAGGTATTAATTACAAACATTAGTAACTAATTTAAAGTTTCATTGTCTTGATTTACTTATTTTCAATTATAAACAAAATTAGAACAAATAACTTTTTTAAAGAAATATTAGATATATTAGATTTACATTTATGTAAATGTATTTTTAAATTAAAGCTATATATACGTGTGATTCGAAGGTCTTCAATAATCTATCTGTTGCTGAAAGCTAAAATTTACTTTGAAACTCAGCTAATAAACTTCTTTGACTTAATAATAATATTACGTTACTACTTTTTTATGTAATAATTATTGACTCTAAAAAATTAACTAATTAATTTAATAAAAATATTGGAGACGTGTAGAGTGCTTCCATATGTTTATCAAACTAATGCGCTTCGAGTCAATTGCATATTTTTAAGTAGTATCCTCAATTTTTCATTTTTCATTTTATATTATATTATATATAAACTGTGATACAAATTGTAATTATCAATATCATTACAGGCCTCCATTGGACGAAATACGAAGTTGGAGTAAATCATTTGACCGACTTCTTAAGTGTCCTGGTAATTAAATCAATAAATACTCTATTAAATAATCATGTTCAACATTTGTACACATACAATATACATAGTATATTATATACGCCAGTATCAATTTAATAAATTTCTTATGAAGGGAACATATAATTTTTAAAACACTCATCAAAATGTCTTTACTTTCTAAAGCAAAAATTTAAATATAAATTAATATGAAAATTGTAAGAAATATTTATTAAAATATTCAAAAAAAAGTCAAATTCAGTAAATATTTTCAATTTTTGAATCAAGGAAAAAGAAAATATACATTTTCTTTATCTCTAGTAAATGTTGTTCTGACATTTGGCACGCACATTCACATCTATAATATAAAGCATATTGTTATATTCATTACTTATATAATTGTGCTAAAATTGTAAAACATAACAAATATCGTTATTTTTCTTACCCCTTTTTTTCACGCAGCGGGAAAAAAGATATTTCGTGATTTCTTACGATGTGAATATAGCGAAGAAAATATATTGTTCTGGATGGCAGTCGAAGAGTTAAAAAAAGAATCAAATCCCGATATAATAGAGGAAAAAGCTCGATTCATTTACGAAGATTACATTTCGATTCTATCTCCTAAAGAAGTAAGTGTTCATATTTCAGTATTTCTAGAGGTATATAATAAACTGTAATAACATTAGAATTTAGAACAAATAACAGTTATTATTTACTTAAATTTTAGGGTATTTACGTATCATCCTGACTATTTCCATAAATTAAGAATTTAATGAATTACTACGATATCACAGTCTATAGAATTTAAAGTATTATTTGGAATAATATTGGTTTTGTATTAATTGAAAAATTTATTTTTATCTACAATGATAAATGTACTAACACATTATATTTATATAGGGTAAACAATAATATACCTAAAGTTACTATATAATTACCTACTCAGCATTTATACGATTATAGTAACAAATTTAAATTAAAACAAAAATCGATTTAATTTAAATATGATTTATGAGTGATAAAAAGAATCTCTAATAAACAAACCATAAATGATTAATAATTATATAAAAGTTGTGTTATTTAACAATAACTAGGTATAATAATAATTTTATGCTATTTAATGCCATTGGGTATTTATTTATATTCATGAAATTCTATTGTATTATTCCCTCTAAATAAAATGTATTTTATATTTCTGCAAATATTTTTGAGAGTAAAAATGTTTAAAATTAAAAGTAGGTAAATTCTCAGTCGATGCAGGTAATCTGACTTCAACGAGAAGTATGCATTTTAATTTTAGTTTTATTTACAACACATATTATTTGTTTTAATTAGGTGAGTTTAGACTCTCGTGTTCGTGATATCGTCAATAAGAACATCAATCAACCATCATCTCATATGTTCGATGAAGCTCAGCTACAAATTTACACGCTTATGCATAGGGATTCTTATCCAAGATTTATTAACTCATCGCAGTACAAAAAATTAGCGAAACTCGAAAATGGAGCTACCGGTAATGCTCCAAACAGTGGCCAACAAACCCCAACCAAACGCAAACAGAGCAATATATGAAAAATAAACTTGGACAATTTTTCAGGTACTTATAATATTTATATTTTGTTGACTTAATCTCTATATTTAATTTGTTATTAGACTTAGAAATGAACAACATATAAATTATTAGTTAAATGTTAATAGAAGATAAATAAATATATTTATGAACGTGATGACAAAAGTTGATGAACTTTTATCATTGTAAAATATACATATATTAATCAAAACCTATTCATTTTATTTTAAAATATAAAAAGAAATTTAATTCTATAATAATATTGGTATTATTTTTAATATTTTTCAGCGATAATAATTCGTATTTGGTGTTCAAGCCTGCGTTTGGACCCATGTATTTGGGACCAGAATTGATAAAATGTTCGTAGATTAACATATTATACAGGTAGAATAAGGAAAAATTTGTATTAAAACCGCGATGTAAAAATAAATTAGGTTTTAATTATTAAGGAAATAAATGTTTTATACATAATAATTAAAAAATTTATTTCATTCGCAACAATACATTTTTTTGTATCTTAAAAATAGTAGTTATTATAATTTTATATCATCACTATCTTGTGTTTGTCATGTGAGTACTTTCATGAAAGTACCTAATTGTTTTTATATTAAACTTACACAACACAAATTCTTTTCTCTAAAAGTATGCAATATTTAATAAATTATTATGTGTAAATATAAAACAATAATGATTTATGTCATACGTTATAAATAAGTTTATATTAAAATGAAATTGTGTTACCTATAAAAAAATTAATGCTATTTAATTGCATATAATAATTATTTAAGACTAATATACGCAATACTCGGTATTCAATACAATTTAATTCGATACTCTGATGGTATTTAACTCAATTTAAATGTTTTAATAGAATCGTTAATGTTTGTAATTGTCATACCTACTTCCGTTCTATATGATTTCGTACAAAAAATGTAATAGCAAAATATAATTTACTACATAATCATTTCTAGTCTAAAAAAAGACTGTATAATTTTAGTTCATTAATATGATTACCTCTGTCATTCTTGTATTAGTTATTATTATTATTATTTTTTTTTTTATGTCATATAAGAAGCTTTTAACTGTGCCAATTAATTTTATGAGTTTATAACTATTATTATTGTTTTTTTTTTTTTTTAGTATTGTGAATATAACATTTAAAACAAATTTAAAATGTACAATACTACAGAACACATAATTTTCTAGACTTGAATTAAGGTGCACTTAACGCACACATTTCTAATGAAAAATTGTAGTATATTTCTTCAAAATATAGTATAATACATATTACAATATTATATTTAGTTCAGACTAATAATAATTATTTTAGATACACAATATAATATTATGTATGACCGGTAAAATTAACATAACAGGGTACAACATTTTCCTTGTTTCATAAAATATTGTACTCCCAGGATTGTCGTGAGAGACTATAGTTCATCATTCTTAATGAAGACTAAGTTTTCAATCAAGTTCGATAGTAGACTTTTATAGACATAAATTAGTATTACTCATAAAACAATATTATACTATGTTAACATTTTTTAGTAATTTTACTTGGGTAGAACATTTATATTGAAATTATATAATTCTTGTGAATTTCTACCGTTAAAAAAAAACTGCAGTAATTTATTTTGTTATCCTTTTAGTATAACACCTCTATATTGTATTAAGCACAACTTAACAATTATACAAAAATAATAATGTAAATAATTCTTGAATTTTTTGGTTCATTAATTAGAAGTTGATGTGAAATAATTTGATCGGTATGGGTACTCGGTTAATACATAGTTGAAACGGAAGTTAAGGCATGTTCAAAATTTTGTTTTTGTATTATACTTATACGAGTTAAATTGCCTATATAAATTATCTCGTGTAGATCATGGTAATAGTAATAATTGTTATAGGCTAACGAATTATATTGAGTTGTCAATATGAATGTTCAATTTTAAAACAATAATAATTATTATTAGTACTTATTAAATTTATTACTATCATTTTTAAACGATATTTTAGTGCGTAATAATGTTATTATTACATTATAAGGATATTGATTTGACAACGAACTGTGAATTTTTTTTAACACTCGTAAGATTTTATAGAATACGAAATGATTAATCTTAATTAAAATGACTGCTTTTATTTCAAATTAAATACAAAACTGTATGTTAATTGAGTATATATTATTCTTCATTTTTATGTTTTAGACGAATACAAAATAAATATAACATATAATAAAACCATAAACAAAATATTTATTATTTCCTTTATGATCTTAAAAAAACAAACAAGATTGTACATATAAAAAAGTAATGATACTTTTATTATTTTTGTTTACGTTTGATAAATAATGCATATAGGTATTACATTCTTATGTATTGATAAAATTAAATTATTATTTACTACTAACTGGTAACTTATCATTGTAATTAAAATTTAACAAAACCTTTTTTCTTCTCTTCTGACAAATATTGTTGGAATTTTTGGAAATGTTCACGTTTAGGATCCCATTTGTCAAGAAGAAGTTTCCATTCTGCATCATAATCTTTCTGGAGTCGATCAACAACTTTAAGAGCAGCATTTTTTTGCATGGCATTACATTTCGAACATTGTGTTTTTAAAGCATCAGGTAAAATTTCTGTAAAACAGAAATATTTAAGATTAGTGTTTACATTTTATTTTATTTCTAACATATTACTATAAAAAAAATAAAATAATGTTTCATGTAAAAAATATCATTGGAGATTAAGAACACATTAACTTTATTTGTATTGAAGCAATTGTTTATTAATTTATTAGGTATCTGATTTTAGATAAAAAATCATTGAAATGATAAGAATCAATATAATATTATACTTTTTCATTAGCTAATTTAAATGTAATGTTTTGAAATTTTGGCTATTATAATATAAATATCAGTAGACAGTGATAGTTCATCGCCCGTTGGTTTAAAAATTAATTAAAAAGTAAATAGTCATATATACCATAAAGTGTGGTAATTTAGTAAAAAGTGTGTTGGTAGATTTATTTTCAAATACAATTTATTAAATTCAATAAAAGCCTATTGATAATATTTGCCTACTCTTACTGTCTAACTTACTAACAGATTATGGGGAGTTATACTGGATTGTAGATAAATGATGATATCTTACAAAGCTACAACGTAATTATTTTGTTCAACTATAAAAATGCAGTAAGTATACATACTTCTCAGTTCAGCTCCTTCGGGCGTGCACGGTTTTTTGTCCAACAGACATTGAACATAGCTGTTTACTAATCTTTTGGAAGCCAGAACTTGGTCAATATCAATATTATCGTATTTTGTAGTGTAAGCGGAACCGCTTACGGCTGCAGCATCTTTTTGTGGTGCTCCGACCGTTTGGTCCACTGCAAACACCGTCAAAAAAACACAAACTACTGCAATTCTTGAATCCATGGCGTACAATTGTATACTAAATAAATGAGTTTCAAATCGGCTTTTATAAGCGATAATCATTGGCATCAATCGTGTGTTATTTTTTTTTTCATACTTCGCCAAACTAAGAAAAAGTGTGGTATTACAGCATAATAATTTATGCTCGATGACCTTCTAGTGACTCGTGATCGTCGTCATAGTATCTACCTTCTTGAACTCATTTCCCCATTGCCCGACCCACCAGTTGGTTAGTACTTATTTCCTTGATTACCGCTTATACTTGTTATGCATAAATATTATTGTTGTGGTATCGAACGAGCCGACTAGGAATGAGTTTTTACATTTAGTATTTGTGATCCAAGAGTTTAATATAACATTATATTGCCGGCGGTTCTTCTCGGAACATGTATACATTACACGATAATTATTATGAAAAATGATCTCAGAGTATCTTTAATTATTATTATTATCATTATTATTAGCTTTTAGGAACATTTTTTACCTACGTCAATCGTACGTCATTATAACATCATCGTTTTCTGTTATATGTATTCTTAGAAATATCATCATGTTTACAAACTCATTATAGTCATAGCAAATATCATATTTGTGATTCCATTTAATTGATTTTGGTTAATAAAAAAATATCAAATATAAAAAATTTATAGAGGTTATATTTTATTGACGTATAAATATTATTATTTTATTCTACTTAAACATTTTTGTAATTAATATTCACTATTTTTAAATGTTGAATAATAAATTGAATGTAGACTAACAAAATTTCAATTCGATCTAATATAACATCAAAAAAACAAAATGAATTATTGGCAATTGTATCATTGTTTTCAATTGGCTATTCTATTATAATTCGATGTGTTAATCTTGACTAATTAATTTCAATAATATATATATATATATATATTTTAATCCAAGAGACTCATTTTGATGTACGATATGTATTGCGCGAACACTTCATTGAGAATATTACTATAATTGTAAACGAAAATGAATCTGAATAGTAACATGGTCCGTCAGTTTTTTTTTCAAAAATATATTTTATAATTAATCTATATTTATATGAGCAATACAATTAACTGTTCTATTTTTTTACTAAAAATATATCACATATAGGTACATAATATATAATTACTAAGTATTTTAATATTATTTCATATAATATTACTAGCTGTTATTAGTTTATAAGTCAATACCGATGTACCATAGAAGACGTGAATTGGTTCGTCATATAAAACGCTAAAAATTAATCTAAATATATCTAAAATTTAATTATGGACTATTAATAATAATATAATACCTAGTGACAAAAAGTTTCAAGATTCTAGGTATAATATTTTTTAATACCAAAAAAAAACTTAGAATTGTTTTTTTTTATTCAAATATCCAATTTTGTAAAAAAATAAACTTGAAATTTTTATAAAAAAAAATCATATTAATATATTTTCCATATTTTTAAATTGAAAAATTAAAAATCACTTATTTGGGATCTCTCATTTTTCAAGCTTTTTGGTCAAGCCTAAAACGTAATTATTACCATCACCTAAAAAACTATATTAGTTAATTTTATATGTTTATAAATAGATTAAAAAGACTCGAAATATTTGGAAAATTATGCTTTATTATTGTATAAATACAGCTGATACAAACATTTAGTCAAATGTCTAAGCCGTCTAAGGGCTTAGGATTATTATTTTTTAAATTATCATAAAAAACCAAATCGATTTTGTCAAAATGTTAATTTAAGTAAGAATTTCTGTTAATCTTATTTATTAAACCAATTTTTTTGTTTTTTTTTCAATTATTAAGGAAAGTATTGAAAATTTTAAATTTTGATCTCTTAAAATTATTGAATAGATATACTCTACTACCAGAAACATATTTAAGTTGAAGATTGGAGCATTTTTAATGCTTTAAAAGGTGATTACAGAAACAAAAATAAAAACTAAAAAAGTAGTATTTTATTAGTAAAAATATTTAAAGACTTATTAAATATATTATAAGTTATGCACATTCAAAATATAATTTAATAATATTATAAATTATTGAATATATCACTGTATAATGTATATTGGATTTGAAAAAAAAAATGATAAAATTGATTGGATTTATACATCCGATTTTATTGGAAAAATAATTACCAAAGTAAATGTACATGTACACATGAACTCGTATCTAGAAAAAAATTATTTTGTGACAATTCTTTAACTACATATTACAACAACATATTTAATATTTATATAAATCAAATTATGTATAAATTTAAATTGAAAAATCTGTCTTAATAACTCTTATTGCTAAATAATATATAAAACTAGTGCGAACTTTATAAATAAATAATTTTTACAATAGTATAATATAAAGATCATAAATAATTCGAGAAAAATTGAAACTATTGAAACTTCTTCTTTTCTTAGCTGAGCCCTCTTGGGCTTTATTTCCACTTATAAAAAAGTGCTAAAAAATGTTTTAAAGAAAAGTTATTTAAATTAATTGAATATGAACGCTCCGATCAAATTATAAGCTTTTAATATTAATTATTGCCAATCCGTAAATTTATAATGGAGATCAGTCATATGAATATTAATAATGAACAATTCCGTGGTAAAATATTATATGAATATGTTTTTGAATTTTCTTTGAATAAAGTCTTAAAAATAATTTAAAGGAATATATTATAAAACTAATAAACCTATTATCTTAACTTCTGATAATTTTTCTTAACACAGTATAGTAAAAATTATTAGAATGAATTTCATTGAACCATATACATTTTAAGCATGTTTTTTTTACAGAAAACTTATTTTTCAATAAAGTTTGTGATTATTAATTAAGTATTATTCGCAACAAATATACCTATTTAAAAAAATAATAATTTTAGTCGTATGCGACTATTCTATTATTATTAAAAAAATTTTAGTGTAACATATATTTTTTTTTGAATTTTGTGAATGTATAAAGGATTTTGTCAATAATGGAATTTCAAAAAAACAAACTTCTAAAATTTATATACTAATATGTGATTTGAGTACGGCTGAGCATATCTTTTTACATAAATTATAAAGAGTGCTTGCGTGTATAAAAGGTATACTTATGTCATATACAGTACTTACCTTATACAACTTAATTTATTATTTCTTTACATATTATAATTTGTCCATAGTATAATTTAAAGTTTTTAATTATTAATAAAACATTAAAACTTATTTGTAGTATGTAAATACATTTTCATTTAATCTATTAACTATTGTTTTATTCATTAGAAATTAATGTCAATTAAATTATTTAACAAAAATATTATAATAGAATAAAAAAGAAGTATATAAATTATCAAAACGCTATAAGTGCTATAGATTTAAAAAAAAAATGAATTATATAAATGTTAAATATTTTATTATTTTACATACTATAATAATGTATAGACTACGATTTTAAAACGTTAAAACTTCGTTTGAATACGCTATTTTTTAAATTCCATACCAATATTTTAAATATACTTTTGTTTTATTAGTTGACAAAGAAGAATATAGAAACATAATGGTAATTATTAATTTCCAAACAAGATAACATGTTGACAAACTAGTATAAAATGTGGTTACATTTTATTTTAAAGGTGACCTTGCTTTAAAAAATATATTTATTTGATTGTACACTATACCTGTTTTATATTTTAATAGAATAATTATAATTTTCAAGACCTTGAAAATCATTACAATAAAATTTTTTTTTACAATAACACTATTATTGTTTTTTGTTAAACTATAATTATTTTTATTTAAATATTTTACGTGGCTCATTAGTAATAAATATTGTGTAATTACTTATTGATATAATGGTATAAAAGTTATTTTTATTAGGGTAAGTTTTAAATTTGTAACTTAAATATTATGATTACTAAATATCTTAAACCATATTCTAATATAAACCTGTAAAGCTTTTAAGAAATTATAATATTTTTACCAATGGAATTTTGATGGTGAAAAGATGATTTATTATGTATAAATATATCTTGAAATTTATCATATTTTTAAAACAAAATACCTACATTAGCATTTATTTCATTGAAATAAAATGACAAAGAAAAAACAATATTTAATTTTTATAATATTATTCTACACTTTATTTGTAATTAAAAATAACAAATAAATATGATAAATAACTAAACACTAATAGTTACCAAAAAAAAAAAAAAAAAATCAACCTTTATTTCTTTATAAATTTTTTTTTTTTTATGTATAAGATCACCACTTAAATGAAAAATCATAATTAACAGTTCGAATGTATATAAAATATTATCTTCTTGTTAGAATAATTTTAAGTAAACGTAATATGAGGATACAGAGTTTATGATATGATACCACTATTTAATGTGAAGTTAATTTTGACTTGAATTAAGGACTAAGCTTATGCTAATACAATGGAAATATAATTTTAGTATGTTACAAATTTCAGAAATGATAACATTGATCTAACTATAACAGAATTAAATTATGAGAGGTAATTTATCCCAAATAATTACACGATAACATCAGAAATCAGGAATAAATAAACTATAATAAACTAGTGTATACTGTTTTTTTTTCCATTCAACTTCAAACTTAATAATTTTTTAACAATTTTTGATGATAATCTTTTTTTATCATTATTATTATTCACATATTTATTTTTAAATTTGAAATATTTCATATTACATTATATGTATAGTGTACAAATTTATATATTTTAAAATTTCAAGTATATCTGATAATTTAATTATCTGGACTATAGAATATTTTTACATTTAAGATTCTAGTTTTAAAATTTACTCATATGCTAAATCAAAACTATCCTACATCACAAGTGCATTGTAAAAGTTGTTAAATTTGTTTTTAATTATAAATATTACTAACCAGGTTTTTTTTTTATATTAAAAATTAATTGACGTTAAGACATCACTGAATTTTTTACACCTTAAAATTTTATATTAAATAATTATTAAATATCTTTAAATTGACTTCTATGATATATCGAGATTTTAAGAATATAACTCAATTTTTAAAGGAAAAAAAATCATAAACATGTTAAATAAATAATCCAAGGAAGTCACTCTACCAAATTGTAAAGATGTAAGATTTATTTCTTAAAAAAAATAATACTATAAATAATAATACTATGAAGAAACCGCACTAAAAATTGAATATAAAAACATTTTTTTTTTACATTAAAAATGTTTTTAGTTTTACACATATATAAAAAAATTTAACAAACAAAAAAAGTATCTTTGTATTGTTAATAACTAATAATTTATCACTCTAATAATGACCTAAAATAAAAATATATGATATTTATAGTTTAGTCAAATTGATTTAATAATTGACATACAATTTTAAATAAATTGCAAATAATATAAGTACTATTTTTATAACTAAGTCAATCACCAAATGAAATACTGGCACTTTAATCTGCAAAAATCATCTTAAAAAAAAAATCTAATCAATTTTTCTGAAATGTAAGTGTATCGGTGATCTCAAAAGTATCCTAGAGAGAAACAATTCATCGTTTTTTGGAGAATATAGATATTCAATTCCTCTATAACTACAGAATATCGTTAGACTTCAATACACATTGCGAGATAAACATTAACATTTATTTAAAATCTTTATTTACTCAAGATGATTTATTTTTATACTAGTATAAAAAAAAAAAAAAAATTAGATCAATATAATAAAATATAAAATAATAAATGAATACATAAGACGTAAATTAATAATCTATTAATAGGAATATTTTAATATAGTAGTTTAAAATAATGATAATTTACAAAATGTGTATGAAATAAAAACTATTGAGTATACAAAAATATACGTATAAGTATATATAAAAATAAACAATATCAATTACGTAAAACATAATTTGTATATAACATTTTTCAAAGTATTATAAAAACTATTTCTAATGATATAGGTGCATTGATTTATTTTATACAATTTAATGTGTATAATTAAATATATATATATATAAAATTAGTTATTCTGTAATAAAACTAATATATAACTAAATATTCATTTTTTATTTAGTAGTATCGTTGCTAAGTTTTTGAAGAGATAATTTTTCGTCTTCGTCATTGTCTGCCATATACTTTCTCAAATACACATTATTTGGATCGAATTTTTGCACCAACATTTTCCAATATTCTGGTTTGTACTGTAATAAATGAGCTAAAACTTTTCCTGCTTGTTTCCTTTGTCTTTCATTACATTTAGCACATTCTGTTTGTATTGCATCCGGAACAATCCCTAAAATCATCAAGTAATTTCAATTTAATGAACCACAATAAATAACAAGTAAATATTTTTATAGTAAAATATGTAATTTAGAATCAATACAAAACTATTTAGAAATCGTCCGTTTGTTTAACTTTAATTAAATAGTATATTTAATTTTTTTTTTTTTATATATATTTATAAATACAAATATTTGTAGTTTATTAATTCACGTTATAAAACAAAATCAAATGGTTGAATTACTAATTTTATTTGTTTTGATAGGAATTACGCAACACAAAAATTTAAAATTTTGTGTACAGGTATTGAATCAATTTTAAATTAGGTCATTATTTTTATTTTATTCATTTATTTTTCACATGTTACGTTCCTATTCTTGATTTTTCAGTATCCACTTTTGTAATACATATTTTTCAAAATATAAATTTCTAAAATAATATTATTTCTGATAAAAATTTTCCTGTTAAAAATATATTTCTACTAAATATTTAAAAAATTTGGAAAACGATATTTAATCGGATTGCGTAATTTAATGTTAAATGATTTTGGTGTTACCTACACAACTGTTTTAAGGCGTTTTAAATATTTTCAAATTTCAACAGTATTTCCTTAAATAGGTTTTGTTTGTATTATTTATACTACCTAAACTAAAAAATTGAATACTACAAATAAAAATATTTAGTATGTCATGTAGACATTTTAGTTTAAATAATACTTAAACATAACTATGAAAAATTGAAGTTTTTTAGCCTTGTCTTCACTTTTAATATTTATTAATGATTTGGTAAAGTATTTAAGGTTTTGTAATTGTCTGTTGTTTGCGGAATATGATTCTTATATGATTTAATACTAATAATAAAGATATTCAGCTATTTCATTCGAGCATAGGTTGAATGAATTGGTGTATTTTAAATGGTCTATCACGAATGCCTATAAATGTGTATATTTCATTTTACTAGTTCAGAAGATCAGTTATAGTGTGTGTGTGTGTGTGTGTGTGTGTGTGTGTTTTATATTGTATATAGTGTATTTTCATATTCATATTTAAAAGTAATTTCTGACAACAAATAGAATCTAATACTTGGTACTTTCAAGGGGTTAAAAAAAATGTTAAGTACTTTTTGAAACAATCAAGAAAATTTATTTTTCAATACATTGATTGTGTTATTTTTTTACAATTCTAAGACGATTAACTGTTTATATTTATAATAAAATGATAACCAAATATTTAAATTTACATTTTTTATGCATTGTACAACTTTCAAAATATTTTAATCCCTTTTAAGCTGTTATTGATATGTGAATTTAAAATTTTTTTTAATGATTATTAATTATTAATTAATTTTATTGTTTACTGTAGATACTTGAAACTGTCACCTATCAATTTTTAAATTCAATGAAACTTTTAAAATATTTAAATTTACTTTAAGCTATTAATAAGAATTTTGAATAAACGAGTTTTTTTAGTATCGATAAAAATTTTAAGCCTCGATCAAAAAATGTAATACAAGATCCACATAAGTAGTCTTTTAGTAATTTAAGTAATTCAATCATATTCAAAGTACACATTAGTAAGCATGATTTATTTTCTTTATTATTATTATTTTTTTTTTTTTATTGCTCTGGAATAAAAATAAAATTGTATGTAATCATTAAAAAAATTAAAAATGATAAAAATAGTAATAATATTTTTATATATTGTTTTATAACAAATCTAAATTTTCTAGATAAATTTTTTTTTAAATATTGATTGATTAGGTTAAATTTTGATTAAAAATAGTTTAATTATGAAAGAATTACTGTGTAAATGATTTTTCTGTAATATGTTGACGTTTTAATTTTTTTTTGAATTGTTATCACAAACAGTTCGTACTTAGATTTTAGATTAGATAATATTAGTATAATTTAATAAAAAATATATTTTCAATTCAGTCAATTCCAAAATATTAAACTTTTAAATCTATATAATCAATAAAAATTAAATTAGATTATACAACGTGTATACTTATAAGCTTATATAATACAAATATAATGTATTAACCATAAATTTATAAGTGTTAAAAATCTTTAGTAAAATTAGATTATTGAAAATCCAAAGAACTTAAATATTATATTAAATAGGATATGTATTTTTCACAAAATATTCGTACATATATTTTTTATCCATAAATTTATTTCACTAATAATTAGTAATTATTATAATTATAATTTGTTTAATTTTTGGTTTTATGGGAACTTTTATTTGTTAAAAATAAAATAATCTTACTATCTTAAAATATCCTCAAAATTATTATTTCTACTATAATATGGATAAACTGAAGAATTTATCTGCAAATTAAAATATTTTACCTATTAAAATATTATAACTTAATTGAATCATTAACATTTTAATTAAATCAGTTGAAAATTAATTTTTTTTTTAATTATGATTTACTGTAAATAATAAGAAATATTATTTTCTACAAGCTAAACTATCAATTATTACGCCTTCAAACTTTTGTTGTAAATTTTTGAACTTCAAGGTTTATTTAGAAAACTTAGATAAAAAGTTCATAAAATTACATTTAAATTTATACTTTTGCATGTTATAATTATATTGAATGTTGATATACTTTTTTTTTTGTTTTTCAAACTTATACATAAACTAATTATTTTTGTTATTTAAAAAATAGCCATAACTATAGTGAATAATATTAATGGAATTTTATAAATTAACTTTTTTTTTTTGAATAATTAGGTCTACATATTTATGTATTTTACTAAAACTCATTTTGTTTTTGACTAAAAGGTAGGTATTGGCACGATAGAAATAAATAATTGTATAGATCGAGTTAAAAAAATTATTATTTATTTATACAAAATTGGTTAATTAAAAATAAAGATGCAAATGATAGGCACTATTTATGACACTATGTATTAAATTTGAACTACTATTAGTTAATAAAAGTTGTATTAAATTGTTTATCACAGGTTACAGACTAATAACAATAAGGTTATAGTTAATTCAATGTATATGTTCTTCAAATTAATATTTACTGATTGTTTCTAAATAAATAATTTTTATATCTTATATTATTTTTATTAATTTAAGCAAAGAAAAATCATATTATTATTTATATTCAAGACACACATTTTGTACGTATTTATTTATTTTTGCACTCAAATATTATAGGTACGATCAACGTAAATAATCAAGAAACGTTATGGTGCTACTCTTGGCTGTATATTATGAAAAATAAATATGTATAAATATATTTTGCATGTGATTAAATTTGTTTTTATTGCAAAAACAATAATAATAAATTACAAACCATATACGTATATTGTCATTTTACTTGACATCATTATTCACTCCTGCGGATTTTATTTTATCGTGATACGACATAAATTAATATTCGTAAGAAATAAAGCTAATGTGGAAATAAACGTTATTTCTGATTTATTATTAGCGACATTTATTAAATAATTAAATTTATATTCCTTTGAACATACTTATAACATAATAAATAACTTTATATTTCTCTATCTTTCACTATGTTCAAGTATAAATAATTAAAAGAAATAAAATTAATATTTTTTTAAAATCCCAATAAAGAAATTATTAAGTAGTGATAAAAATATATAATAGTTCAGTTAATTAAAATTAAATCACTTTTAAGCTTCCTTTTTAAACAAAAAAATATAATGATGATACAGGAAAAGCTTTTTTTGGTGTATAAATTAATTGATTTTTCCTATGAAGATGTAAGAACCACATAAATAACAAAAACTAAAATACATATGGTTTACCCATACTGAGGAATTAAGTAGATACCTAGTTAACGGTCTCGATAGTTTTTTTTTCTTAATGAAGTTATTCTTATTTTTAGAAAACACGCTTGTCATTTTATTGTACGTATGTTCATTTATTGTTTGTTTAATAACCAGTATTAGCTTTTTTATTATTTTATAATAAATTACTTATATTTTAAATTCAAAGCGGAATATTGTATTTATTGATTTTATAATGAAATGTGTATATAAATGATATTTAGTGGAAAAAATGTTTTGTTGTTAAACTCAGGGAATAGTTTTTGTTTGAAAATTGGATCTAGTTTGTACGATACATCAGAATTGAAAATTCTCAATGTTTTTAAAAATAATCTGGAAAAACAAACAAAAAATTAAAAAATATTTTTTACGTAAAACCTGTTTTAGATAAGATCAATTTGATTTCTTTTGATGTAACTGAAAAAAAAAATAACCACAAACACATGAAATTTTCACAAAACGCTTTATTGAATTTATTGAATCACGAACATTTTTAAATTATTTTGTTGTTAAACTTATTTTGTATAAACGTTGAAGTTCAAATTGTTATAATACAAAAGCGATTACCCATAGATATTTGAAATTTTCACCAAATGTTGATAATTTTTATTGACATTTTAAAAATATTTTTAGTTTTTTTTTGAGTTATATATAAAATTTTAATATTTTCTTTATTTATTTATTTTTATATATGACAATAAAAAAAAAAAAAAAAAAAAAATAGAGAATGTTTTAAAATACTTGGATACAATTTGTATTTATAAGCATTTGTAGTTCAAATTTTGACCATATTCATCAAAATTATGGAAATGTGCAATTTTTATATAAAATACAATTGTAAATTTAATAAAAACTTTTTCATAAGTAGTTCATACTGAACCGAAAAATCAAAGTACATCTAAGATAAATAAATAATTTTTTTTTAAATTAAATAATGAATACTTTTATTAATATGGTAAATTTGTAATTTACCTTAAAACCTGTAGCCTACATAAAAATGTATGCAATTTATACATATTTATATGAATAAAACCGTCGATATTCTTGTAAAAAAAAAAGATTAAATCAAGAATGTTTTTAATTTTTTTAGAAAACCAAAATTATATGACAAATTAATTATCGAACATCCGTTAAAATTTAAAAAAGAAACATAAATTCAATTTAAAACCATTATTGTCCACTATAGCTTAATTTGATTTCATAAATTTATGAATACTTATTTATCTTTTTGTTAATTCAAAATATTTGTAAAAATAAAATAATATGAAAACATTTTGAAACATTTTGTAAAAACATATGTTGAGATTGATCAAAAATTACTTAGTTATAAAAATAATTATTTAAGCATAAATTATTAAGTTTCGTTAACTCCTTCCAACTTATTTAGGCTATTGGGTATATAACTGCACGTGATCCTATGATTATTAACGTTATACAATTTAATAAACTGTTTAATATAAAATAAACATTGAATAAAATAAAAAAAAAAAAAAAAATGGTATTCATGTTATCAAGAGACAGACAAGAGCTTACTTTTGAGTTCCAAACCCTCTCTGGTACACGGTCCACGGCTCATAACACAATTGAAGAGAATTTTTATAATTCGTTCATTGTTCATAACAGCTTCAATATCAATATAATCGTAACGAGTCGGATACGTCGATGTTTCTCTGATAGTTTTACGTCCATCGTTGGTCACAGTCACATTTTGATTCACACTCTGCAATCTCTGTGCGCTTGCAGCCGGTGTGACTTGAGTGTCGCACATCACGGTTACATAACAAAAAATCGTAAAAAAATTCATGTGTGCTGTACTTACATTAAATCGTCTGCAAAACCGAATAAATAACACAAATGTTTATCAATATATATTGTATATATATATATATATATATTTTTTTTTTATTAGACCTATTTGAATGCGTATTAAATTCTAACGACTGTTTAACATGGGATTTAGTGTAAAAGTAACGGATCGACCGATGGAATAGCTCAACCGATTCGCACTTAAGGACGTCTGTTGTTGGACCTGAAACGGAAACGTAGTTAAAAAAAAAAAAAACGTGCCCACCTTAAGGTCACCGTCATCCTCTGCGCAAACATAAACGCAAGATTGCCATTTTAAATTTCATTCACTCATCTCCCGGCGTTAGTGATAACTATAATATCAATAATTATATATCAACTAATTTTATGTCTTCGGTTGCGAGCCATTCAAAAATATCTAGTTCAATTGTAAACTTCATCAAAGAAATTATATTTATGTGTATATAAAATGTTTATTTTGTGAGCGATATCTTAATTCTTTAAAAAACCTTGACGTAGAGGTTGTCCTAGGTTTTCACTTAACTGGTTTTTTAAAAATCTTATTAATTTTTTTTATTAACTATTTTAAAAAGTTTAAAATGTTTATTATTGTTATTTAAAAAATATTTGAATTTGAATTTGAACAAGAATTTAATCTTATCATGATGAATTGATCCTTGCACATTTATAATGTGTTCAAATCAAAGAATCACACGCAATTAAATAACTTTCATTTTAAATAATTACTTAACTAATATTACATAAATTATAAAAATATTATTGTTTATTATAATTTAAGTACTTAATAAAGTATTAATCAAAAACTTATAAACATATTTAAGTATATAATTAATAACTTAAGTGATAATAATTAAATTAGATTAAAAGATCTATAGCATTACATAAAAATCGAGGATATTGTTTTAAATTGTGTTTCGACTTGATATCAACTATGGCTACTATTTCAATATTCCTATTTGTATGACTCGTGCACTGTTTAATAAGTTAGTGATTCTATCAAAGCATGGTTACCTATTACTTAAAAACTGTATGTTACACTGTTACACATCTTTAATAACATATAATAGTTACTTACAAATCATATAAATATATGGAAATGTTTAAAATGTCAAATGAAAATTTAATAATGTTATTTGAAGTGATAATATTATGACACCGTATTTATTTCAATCGTTAAGTAAATTAATATATCAAATCTTCAATATATTTTATAATAGTGCATAATATACGGTCCACTTAAATAAATGAAACAACTGCACTAAACCGGTCATAAATGAAAAACGCAAAAAAACACGAATCAAACAGTGCGCAGTCGATTGAACATTGAACTATCTATATGATGTTCAAGGAACTTCAGATAAAAGTAAAGCAGAACATTGTTAAATACGATAGCTGAATTCCTTGAATTTTAATGTGTTATAATATACCTATGTATAAATATGATATATTTATTATAAATTGCATAACTTCATGAAAATAATTCTTTTTGTATAAACAATCATTCATTTCAATCAATTTATCTGCAAACAAGATAAATAGGTAATGGAACAGATAATCATTTTATTTATTAAAAAATTAATATTTATTTCTATAGTAATCGACGGTCTAGATCCATTAATTTATTTTAAATTACCCAGAGGTTGGTACTCAAGTACCTAGATTTACAATTAGTTATATTTGATAAAATCATAAATACGACATTTTAAACTTGTACATTTTATTATTCATATATACTTTAAATTAGTGTACAACTATATTTATTTACATTATTTCAAAATATTTTTAAGACCAAAATACAATTTTTTTATAACTACGTAATATTATTGTAATTATATGTTTTAAATCACATTAATATACAATTCAAATATATTATGAATTGATTAAAATCTAGTTTATTATTTACTAGAATTTCAATTAATTTAATTTAAAATAGATAAAGTTAAAAACAAATCTATGTTTTGTATATAATTATGATCTTATATAGGTAATAATAGTTGATTTATTATAAAATATGTATTTTCTTTTTCAATATTTACATTAGTTAAATAAATATATGTTGAATTCGTATTTATTTTTAAACTGTCTTGAAAATAATAATTTAATGACGGAAAAAAATAACTATTATTACTTATTACATACGTATGTTTGTATTTTTCTTACTCGTTTCATTTATAATATCCTTCTGGAATAAATAACAGTAATTTTAACTCTATTTCGTACATAAATACACAATTATAATTTTAATAGTTATAGATTCAAGGTTTTTAAGTTGCTGTATAAGATATAGGTGCCGTTGTTACTACCGTTGTTTTTAATTGTTCTTCGTGTTGATATTGTTGTGATTGTTGTTTATGTTGATGTTGATGTTGCTGTATTTGGTTTGAATTTTGTTGTGTTTGATGTTGATGTTGCTGTGGTTGGTTTGGATTTTGTTGTGGTTGGTGTTGATGCTGATGTGGTTGGTTTGGATTTTTTTGTGGTTGGTGTTGATGTTGCTGTGGTTGGTTTGGATTTTGTTGTGGTTGGTGTT